ACAGTATAAACAGACCAGAAAAAGAAAAGTCCATGGGTACACTTTTTCTCCTGTAGTCACTGACATTGTGTCCAAGGTAAAATATTTGGCCATGTCTTTTGTTTCGCTACAATGAAGAAAATATATCTGCAAGGAACAAAACTGCGCATCTACACTTGACAAAAAAATACACTTAACATTTATTATTAAAAGAAGCAAGACGACATCAGAAAAAATGAACCAACAGAGAGTCAATTAAAACAAGTCATTCCTCATCCATCATATAAATAATGTACAGAGACTGGTTCCACTACTGAAAGGGTCCTGTTAGAGTACTGATCTTCTTTTGTTAAATAAATAAAATCATTACTTATTTATCGATGAACATTACCTTCTTCAACAATAATCCAACAAAAAACATTTCAAGCCACTGTCGCTCTTCAAATTTTTCAGGTGAGGCAGACCATATTTCAATGGTTAAGTTTCAAGGTAGAGGTTATCGCTACAACAAATGAATTTCCCTCTCCAAGGACAGTGCACCCAATCGCAATAGTAAAGAACAGAGCAAATCCTGAAGGAGTATACACTTATGTCATTTTTCATAGAGAGGCAGTTTCTGTAAATTTCCACTTGCCGGACAGCACACAAAGAGATGGGATGTTAAACGTCCCACTGTTCTTAACCCCTTCGTTGCCTATTATGATGCACCTGGTATGTCACAGAAGTTGGCAAAGTTTGTTGTTCCTAGTTGCCTATATGACGCTACATGTACATCACACTAATTATCTGGTTCTAATTCTTCTGCATGGAAATTTAGCCACAAGCACTGTGGATTTATTTTCTGGAACAAAAAAAATGCACATATCGGTATCAAATTTGCTTGTATTAGTTTACTTCTTAGCTTGCGAGTTATCGATACCCATAGATCAAACCTTGTGGATGACTGTGTGCTCTTGCAAACCATAAACACTAAATTGGCTTTAAAAAAGCAGAAAGTTTCACTTTTTGACATAGATTTGCAAGCTTTTTGAAATAATTGTTGAGATGGGGAATATAGGGAATGAGGAAAGTGATATCATTGAAGATCCAGGGTCTGAAATATATAGCAAGTGGGCTAGATCTAGATAATGAGTCCATAAACACAGAGATATGAGACTTGTCCTAGCTAATAAGCTAATCTAAAAATCAAGGATGACATTAGGAATGCTTATCCCCTGGCAACGAAGGGGTTTAAAGATAAAGAGTACTGACAGCTTTTTAAGCAGAAAAACATGATTTCAATGCAAATATTGAATTGTTTTGCTTTAAAAGAAACATAAATTTCTATCTATTTCAATAATGAACTAATTTTGGCTGATTGCCTGTGAAATGTTGATGATGGAAATAACTTTAAGTACATTCCTGGTCAAGTTGTAAGTCCACGATAAAGCTCACAGGATGAGAGTAAACGAAAAGTTGAGATGGATAAAACCTTAAAACAATAAAAATTTAACCAATGATGATATAGTATGTACATAAGTAAGGCAATATTCCAAACTGCTTATCACTGTCCCATGACATGATCATTAAAGATGGTCGGACATGATCATTAAAGATGGTCGCTAAGTAGGAAAATATTCCTGTATTTGTGCCAAGAACCAGTAACACTAATACTTTAAACATTACAAGGTCAGAGTCAAACACATTATCCCACCATTTTAAGGATGAAAATACTACTACAGTGAATGGGGCCATAGACCTAAAAAAACCTCTCAGAAGTGAATCAGAATATGAATAAGATAGGCTTTCGTAAATTTGTTTGGCAAGTACATTGAACAATAATGAGTTTGTACAAAAATGAATGAAGTACCTAACAGTAACAGAGAGGAAAGGATTTGGTAGGACAGAAAAAAAGGAGAGAAGAAAGGCGGAGAAAGGATTTTAAGTTTTTTGAAAATTTTAGTTTCGATTTGACTTCCAGGTGGGGAAAAATGAAATGTCAGTCATTGTCCACTTCCATACCACCTGTAAAACAAAAAGATGTATGCATCATCACTTAGTAAGCCTTGACAGATCAGTTGATTTGGATCTTTAAGATGTAAGAATCACTGTCGTATTAATGTGTTCATAAATCTCTTATCATTTTTCAGCAAAGATATTCAACCACTAAAACCTTTACAAAAAGATATATATATTGCGAAGTAAGAGCCACTGCCCATAGTAAAATGGCAATCAGGAAATGGATAGCAAAACAGTTGATTATCTCAGTTTGAGTCAGACATTTTCACTGAATGAGACCAAAATCTATTCATTTACCCTGTCAGCACCTTATCCGCAACAGCAATTTCCATAGAAATGACTTGACAATCTTTGAACAGAAAAAGGCATAGAAATGCCCAAGCTCTGTGAAAATTGACTGCCGGGTGTGATAAGAGAACGCACAAATAATTTTACTTATATTTTATCAGCAATAAGCTGTGACCTAAGAACCCTTCCACCCCTTCAAACATCATCAGGACAGATACAGAGAAAGCAAAAAAGTAAAAGCAAAGGGTAATGTTTTCTTTAGCCATCAGAATCTTACATCAAAAGACGAAAAGAAAGCGAACAGTTCTTCACTTAATTATAATGAGACTGTGTCATATAATGTATAAAAATAGATTTCGAAAATAGATCAGTTACAACCATCATATGTTTCGACTGAGCTACCAAGATAAGAGCCCCCACACCTGTTCAGTGTGCTTCCATACCTCATATAATCATGACACAAAACATATGATGACTCCCGAATGAAAGTATATTGAATGCATACACAGTTCAAGGCAATGATATAATATATATATATATGATCAATGTGATACATGAGATAGATCTATATTGCAGACAGTTCTTTAAAATATGTAATAGTAATTCAACAAAACAACCGGATACACAAGGTATGTCAACAGATGTTCATATTATGTGCAAGTATAAAACACATTTTATGAAAACATTAACAAGTTTGATCTTAATAATCAATACATCAAAGACAAACTTCACAAAATGCTTTACATCACCAATAGCAACGGTACTCGGGTGAACTTTTGATTTTTATTCTTTCATACGATTCATATGAAAACAAGCATAATATAAAAACAGTAAGTTAGAGAATTTACCTTCAACTGACTCAACTTTCAACCATCTCTGAAAAATGTAATCACATAAATTGAGCTACATCATACATAGAAAAATCAATGTGACACCATAAAGTCTAAAGAGAGCATCAATAACCCTGGCACTTCCTTCTGCCGTGACTATTTAGAGAGACACCCCCGCCCAGCAAGCTCATGCTTAACAGCTGTTGTTTAAAAGTAGGTTCAAGAATTTTGCAGAAGTCAAGAAAATTAACTGTTTAACGAAAAATGGCTGCAGAAATTTACAAGACCTTACATGATACAGAGACAAAACCATGGACTTGTTTTTGTAACATTTTAAAGTTTAAAAAACAACAACAAACATCTCTCCACACAATAGCAATAATTGTGCAACTACCCCCTTTACTTTATTTTCACTTCCCAAAAACTTTTTGTGATATGACTGACCCCTTCGTTGCAATATGACATACCTGGTACGTCGCGATCATGAGCAATTTCAGGCTTTGTGCTGTGCCATAGACATTACAGAAATTGGCACAATTTGCAGTTCCTGGTCATCTATATGATGTTGCATGTATGTCACCTTAATCATCTTGCTCTACTTCTTCTGTTCGGAGGTTTAGCCACAAGCACAGTGTGGATTCCTTTTCCTGAACAAAAAAACACACATTTCATTTCCAAATTTGCTTCGCTAGTACACGTTTACTGCTAGGCTTGCAAGCCATAGATAACACAGATCTCTTCTTGTGGATGAACATATGCTGTCACAAAATTTTATCATCAAAATGATTTTAAAAGCAGCAAATTTCACTTTTTGAATTAGACGTTTTGCAAGTTTTCGAAATTATGGGTATATAGGGAATAAGGTAAGGTACACTATCAAAGACCCAGGGTCTAAATATGTCATGAGTGGGCTAGATCTAGACAGCGAGTCCACTAGCACTGTGACATGAGGCTGCTGTTCTGGTTAACGAGCTTAGCTGAAAATCAATGCAGACAGTGCCCCTGGCAATAAAGGGGTTATAGTACAAAACGGCCAAAATTGATTAACCTCGAAAATTATACTTCTTTATCCAAGAACATTCCCTTAATATGTAAAGAGCATTATCACTAAATACCCAATTTTTTTTTTCAAAAACAAGAAAATCACTTTTCCATCCAAGCCAGCACATAGTGTTTTCCTGGCAACAAATACTTTCTGTATTCTATTATTCAATACACCCAGCTTAGCATTGCCACATATTACCATCAATTATGCATGATTTCAATACACCAAATCCTTTCATACACATATATCCCTTACTTGTCAGATAGGAAAGCTAACAAAATTGACAAAAATAGAAGTTCAAAGACATGAGAAAACAAGCAGCAAATTTGCACCATATGTAACATCTTACTACTAGTTTAAAGAAAAGCTGTGAAAAAACATTTCTGAAAGGTAAATGAAACAATTACAAACTTCAGCACAGATAACCCACAACCCCATTGCTGTTAACACTCACTGAGACCTGCCTGGAGAGAAAGCCACTCACGAAAAGTCCCTAGACATTTGGAATGTGACAATACCCTCAATACCTTCAAAAGCTATACCATATAAATTTTAAGTTCTTTGAAACAACAGAGCGAAACAAGCAATATGAAACAGAAGGTCAAAGACTATCGCTGACCCGCTTCATGACTTACTTTATTGCCATGTAAAAAGCACCTAAACAAGAAAAAACATAATTTAAAATATCCAAACTTATGATACAATCTAGGCTCCACAACTGACAAATACCCATCTAGTCGGGAATATAATAATATTTTGACAATTTCTTAGTGAACACACTTTCTTTTTTTCTATGTGGACACCCCCCCCCCTCCAAAAAAAAAAAAACAACACTCAAAACAACCCCCCCCCCCCCCAAGGCGGCGACTCTTCATATTTAGTTTATGACCCCCTGTCCCCTCAACATTGTCCCTTCCACAAAGCATAACTACTTTCCTGCCTTTGTTTTCAGTCTGTACAATCATTCCCTTTACAGAGGTCCTGAAATGGCTATAACAGCCCCTATCACAGGCTCTACGTTGAGGAGCTACAGCGTGGCAATATATTTCTGTAAAATGACTGCTGCAGGTCCCAGTGAGTTGATCTCCGGAAGATTTCCTTTCCCTTCCAGTGACAGTGAGTACAACAAGACACAATACAACATCAAGAATCACTGATGATCTGTGACACCTGATTGACACTCACACCTAACTGTCTGTGTCAAGCCGCGGTGCCTTGGAGGGAGGCTCGTCATCTCCCCCGGGCGGGGCAGGCGATGGTTGGTTGGGAGGAGGGGTGACGGATGATCCAGCAACAATCTGCTCAGGCTTGTGAGGGGAGCCTGGTTCCTGTTTCACTAGTCCTCCTTTCTGTTGTTGTAAAGGAATGCTGATGGTTGTAGGTGTGCCAGACAAAGTCACAGAGCCTCTGCAGATGTAGAAAAAGATCAGATATGTTTGATATCATAGCAATGTTCATGCACTGGCAATCCACGAAGGCTGCATTTGTATGTGGCAGATAAAAGAAATGTTTTCAGCCCTTGTTTCTGAAGAAGAATATTCTGAGTCCTCAAGCACATTTTAATAGTTTCTTCCTGTCTAAGACTAACAACACTGTGAAAGTATGCTTCCAGGTATGTTTTGGATATAAAACAATGTCAAAGAAAGGAAAGCTTGTAAAGATTTAAAAAAGGAGACTTTTTTCAAGACTCATTTAAAGCTTGATGCAAAAGCAAATTTAGACATTTAATAAATTGTAACCGTAAGACAAATTTCTAAAGTGAACATCAAGAATAACAACTTCACGAGAATAAAATTAAAAAGGTTTTATGCGCAAGACATCAGCCAAGCCAGTGAACACTTTCGTGCATATTAATGGCGGAGCACTTTTACCACATTACTGGAAGGAATCGGTCATCAATATTTTTGTTCCATAACCATTTCTGAGGTTGATTGGTGATCCTTAATAAAAATTAGGAGTAATCATGGCTAAGTATAGCTGGCTAAACCCAGTATCTTCCCTCATCATTTGAATCATCTTTTTTTTTGAAGTTCAAGAAACCATTTGTATAGATAGATAATTACACCATCAAAATACTAACAGCCATAAGTAATGATATAAAATAAACGACATAATTCCAGAAACAGTCCAAACTGTCTAGGTTGCCCCCCCCCCCTCCCCCAGTTGTCGAGGAGAAAAGTGGCCGCATGACAGTGTCATAAAAAAAAATATGCAAGGGAGCAAATGGGAAGTGACTGTAAATGTACAGGTGATTGTCTAATACAGATGGCCGTAAGAGCAAGTTTGACTGAATCAAAAAAAAGAAGAAGCTAAACTTGCCAGAGAAAAAGAGAAGGAAAACTCACCCCGGAGTGAAAGTGACGCCTGAGGCTTGTAGAGCAGCAGTGAGGGGACCAGGTCCTGCCCCTGCACTGCTCAACTGATAGACCAAGGGGGATAATCCGGCTATGTCTGCACTGTTCAGCAAATCACCTGAAAAAGAAGCTGCTCATTTAAGAACAACCGGGCAAAAAGTCTGTTAGTTGTGGTTGATTGTTCATAGCTGCCACTCAGAAATTTTTCAAAAGGAGGAAATTCACGCGAAAGCGTACGCGCGCTCTCCGAAACCAGTGAGATCCAGAGGCAATATATACTGGAAAATCTAGCCTACGGTTTTGGAAGGGAAAACTGTCATATTGTTAACCATAGGCAACTGAATTAAAATGTATTTGAAAAAAACAACATAAAGGCAGTAAGTTGACTAACAAGCATTCGAGTCAATTTGACACAGTTTGGACTTGGTGACTAAAAATCTAGTGTTTTTTGCCAGCTGGTGTCTCATAAAAAGATTTCTTTCACTTTAAACGTGTACATACATAGACGTAGAGCAGTATCGGATCAAGGATACACAGGCACTCCTGTACAATTGCGGTCCCGTTTGCACTTAGTGCCCCTGTAGTGTGTTTCTTATTTAGAGATAAACTGAATTAAAATTATAGCCTAGGCTATCTAATCTAGATCTAGATATATCTAAATATGTGTAGATCTAGATTATATCTAGAGATAGATTTTCTAGATCTAAATCTAGATCTAGATTCACTTCCGCAGCAGCCACAATAGCCGTCATGTAAACAAACGGGACCGCAATTGTACAGGACTGTAACAGGAGTGCCGCGGGCCGCGATTTCTTTCGCAAAAAACAGCTAGTTCAACTTTCTAATGAACTTTTCAAGTCGCACACCGGCTGCTTCTTTCTCATTCCAGCTCCTTTTATTTTTGCATTCTGAATCAATTTCTCTCGAATTTCCGCCAATTTCAATGACAACTCGGCGCGCTAACGTCCCGATGCCCGATCGACACTGTGTTGCTCCACAACAATAAACAATGTGAAACTAGCGCTGGGCCTTGAAGAACGGAAGTAGAAAGCTACGGGCGGACATGCGCAGACCGTGTTTTCGTCTCTCTCCCGGTTCAGTGTTTTCCGCGTGGAAAAAAAATAATGAAATTTGCGACCAAGAGCGGTCCAGCGGAGGAAGGAGGAAAGTTGCGGGGAAAGCTAGATGTAGCGGAGTTTCCGCTATTTAGCGGGAAAGTGGCAGCTATGATTGTTATATCAGAATGACTGCAATTGTTATATCAGAATGGTTGTAATTAGTCTCTGGACTTTCAGAGCTACAATGAATGTGTATGAGAACATTGGCATCAGTACCTACATAACATTGCACAAATTGCACTGAAATGGAGAAAAAAGATCATGGCGGAAGAGTCAGTCAGTTGCATTCGAGGCATAAAACAAAGACTAAGTAATAAAAAAACCCATAGAAGTAACAACAAATAAGTCTATGAAAGGAACACATGTTAAACAGGTAGGAGACAAATACACCACATGATATAAAATAAATTATGTAATCAGCAGGGGAAACAAGTGATGAAATCTAAAAAATAAAGAAGAATAAATCTGTCGGATTCAGCCCAGAAATCATTAAACAAACTTGAAATCCATAATGATACACTCTCTCTCTCTCTCATTGCGTCTTTGGCATAGAGAGTTCATAAAGCAAACTGACATATATTCATTATTAAATTATTTTATCCTGCAAACATTAGAATAAAAATCAAATCATCTCATCATCAAGCCAATTTATCAACCATCATACATTATACTTCACTGCTTGCTTAATTATTGTTCAATAATCCTTATATAATAGCAGATTGCATTAAAAGAGCAGACATTCCATCCTTAAAGATGGCTCTGTCGGCAAGGCTATAATTTACGATAAAATAAAATAAAAAATCCCCTCTAGAGATGACCCTCTTACATTTACCTAACTACAAAAGAGAAAACAATATGAACACCAAAAAGTATATACTAAAATTATTAGCTTCATCTCCAGGATTCCATCCCAACTTAATAGAGACAAACTTCTTAAAAACTCAACTCAAAAGAGAAATAAGCAAAAGATGTGCTTTAAAAAAACTTTAAAACTGCTGATGGGTCTGAAATGAGCAGGAGAAAAACTGACACAATGATGAACACATTTCACAGGGAAAAATTTGGTAACAAGGTGTCTGAATTGAAAGACATGCACAATATATTTTTAGAAATACGACAACTCAAAAGTTGATAATGGTGTCTTGAGTTACCTGATGAAAGAATAGCCTGTATTGCTCCATGTGGTCCGCCTTGGTTTGGTGTTGCAATAGATACATTTGGAGTGTCAAGTGCTGTTCCAGGTTGAGCTCGAGGCTGGCAAAACAAAAAAACACACACAAAAATAAAATCAGCACTATCACAACAAGGATTCATGATGGAAGAAAGTTTTAAGGGTGACAGATTTGAGATTTTTTTTCCAGTACATCTGATCGTACACTGAGCAGTCAGAAGGAAGAGCTAACATTGATAAAAGCTTTTAGTAAATACCTTAATTGCAAATTATTGATTCATCAGCCTGATGTCTTTAACGAAAGTCCTGATTTCCAATTCCAGTTCGATTACAGGAAAACTACTTTTCCTCCTCAGGTTTTCTCACCACATGGTAAGTGTCACTGAACAACTAGTTCCTTCTTATAAAAGAAAAAAAAAAAAAAGAAGGTTTGAACACGTAGACACTATGGCAGTTGATAGCTGATGAAGAGCAGGCCTTTAAACTTTAAGGGCAAAAATTTGTAATTAATCCATGTCCAAAACAGGCAGTTCTGATCAAGGGAAAAAATTTGTCTACGGTCACTACCCCTGAGATCAAGACGAGGAACAAAGAAAAAGAAGAATAGCACTGATGTCAACAATGGCTCTTCCAAAGCTGAAAACAAAACATGTGCAGCTTGTGCTACTCTGAACAAAAGCATTCATATTTTCCAGTGTCTAGAAGAAATTCCCTGAATATAAAAACAACATAAGAAACCCAAATGAACCTTTTCATAACAACTTCCAGCCACCAAAAAGATGTGTGATCTCTTTTAATCGAATTGTAAAAAAAAGAAGAAAAAAAAGAAAAGAAATTAGCTTATACGATGCTGAGGTGTGCTCTGCATTGTATTTACGGAACATGATCAAAATGTGGAAGTCAAAAACCTGAAAAGGCCTTCATTAATCTAGCAAATATTACATGATAATACTTTTGGTATGGCACAATGCAAGGTGACTACCAAGATTGAATAGAAACAGAAAACACAAATAAATTGCTTTTTAGACACCTATAAAACAAAATTGTCCATTAAAAAAAAAGCATTTTTCACAGGCCATTCTACACTGTCTTCAACTTTATAACCCATTGACAAAATTGCCACCATGCCGGCGAAAGTCTATAAAAAATAGTTCCCTTGTTGCAGTCTTTGTTTAAAGTCAGTCAAGAGTAATCATTTTAAAAGAGCATGAATATAGAACTAAATAACTTACAGTCAGTGAATTTGCAGCACAAGTGAATTGACTCTAATCACTGTTATCCCTTTTTATCTTGAAATAGGTCTTGACTTCCCACATTGACACACACACACTGATTAGTACCAACAGATTTGGCTATTGTTACAACAGAGCCATATTCTTTCAGAAAATGAACAAAGAAAAAACAACTACCTCTTCCTCCACCCCAAACAAAAAAAAAACAAAAAAAGAGAAGAAATTACTTGTCCAACAGCCGGGGGTCTCTCAGGTATCACTACTTTAAGGCCGTGTTTCTTCGCAGACGTTGGGGTTCCAGAGGGATGTGAGGATGTGGAGGCTCCTGCAACAGATATTGTCTGCTGCTGCACCTCTCCTACATGATGTAAGGCAATGGGCACAGGCTGGGTGGCACTGACCGTGTGTGACACTTGGCCAGATGACAACACCGAGGTGCTAGCTTGGACTGGGCTCACTCTACTGCCTGTGAAGGGTAGTGAAGAAAAAAATGATGCTGAGATAACAGCAAGTGTAGCGTTATGAGCAAAAAAACCTGTCAAAGACCAAAGCAAAAACCTCAGTGCACAGTGAAAAAATATTACATCCTGCATTGGCAATGTGCCATTGTAGAACAAAAATAACTAGGTGAAATAAAAACAAAAGGCACAGAGAAAACAGTCCAATAGAAAAATAAAAAGACCAAAAAAAAAAAAGAAAAAAATGTCATCTCTTCCTTTGAGGAGAATACATGAAGGAATTCAGAATAGAATACTTATAGGCTTATAAGACTTAGTACCAAAAAAACATTTAATAATCTCTATATATTTGCATCATAAATTCCCCCACTTGGCACAAGTTTCCTTCATAAACCAATGCTTTCTATACAAGCATGTTATCTTCAAGGTATTTCCCAAAAATGGGGATTCTCATGGTCTAGAGGTACAGTGTTTGCCTCTCATTCAATAGGTCCCATGTTCGAAACCTGACAGTAATGGAAACATTTCTTATTTCAAATTTTCTCCTTTCACCTCCATTTGCTCTCCAATCATGCTCTGTCATCTTTCTTATGAAGTTGCGGGCGCTGTAAAACACTTACTTACCAATGTTCTTTCGTGAGCCCAGTATTTTCTTCAAACCCTCCACACTTTTGGTTAAAAAATGACAAATAATTATCACAAGGGAAAGTTGATTAGCAAAAACTGGACTGTTGCAAGAATATTAAACTATTTCACAGTAGGTCTCTGATATCTATCACCTGAATCTATGTGGCATATTATCATTGAGTGGTAAAGAACTAGTACTTATGAATAATGTCAAACACACTTTGACAATGACTCTAAATTGTTACAAGTTGAATAAAGAAGAAAGCGATCATAAAACCACACGAGAAAATAATGTTATATTATTGAACACTATACCTGAGGGGCTGGGCACAGAGTGAGCGATGGGTCCGGTTGGAGGCTGCAAGACGATCACAGAGCCACCACTGGCAATACTAGCTGGCGTAGCTGTGTACTGACTGGTGGGCACCTGACCTGGCAGCTGATACTGAATCTGTTGAGTCTGTGAACATTAAAAATAGTTTCTATCATACAAGTTGCACCTAAAAATATTTGGTTTTGAAAGAAACTGGCTTTCCTTAGTATACAGTACAAGGACAACAAATGCTAAAAAAAACAAAACAACACCCAACACATTTAATAAAATATGGATGTATAATATGCTCAAGGCATGAATTAATGATAGACTGAATATTCTCATTTCACTGCCTTCTTTTTTCCCTACCGTCACAGTTGAAGGCTTTGCTGTCTTTCTGAAATTTTGTAAAAAATATAAGTGTTGCGACGTGGTGGAATCAGGCGCTCCTCAATTTTTGGGCATGTGGAGTTATTGGTATTATCTGAAAGCCTTGCTTCCAATGAAATAAATATCCAGCTATCTTGAATAGAATTCAAGATATTTTGCGACTTAAGGAAGTGAGGTTGCCTGGTTTCAGTGGTCAAATAAGCAAGAAAATGGCCGCCAAAATTTGGTAAACTTAATAGCGTAAGAGTCTTTGAAAACAGAAAAATATAACATATTTTGTGCCTTTTAACCATTGTTTTTCAGTCAAATCGAAGAGGATGAGCCCAACCAAAAAAAATGTGAAATTTTTTTTCGAACTTTCTGAAAAATGCCTGTTTCTCCGATTTCTGTATTTTGACGGGAGCCTGATTTCACAACGCTACCTCACATCTTTGGGTCAAAGGACATACACCACACTGCCTTTCCCAAAGTATTTCCAAAGCAAATGAAAGCATACATAAAGACACCCAACGTACATTTTATAACAAAGGAAAACAATTTGATTTGACATAATTCTTTTATGGAAAAGAACCCAACCCTACCAACTGAAGCATGAGAGGATCTGAAAGGAACTTCTCCATCTGACATGCCGTCAACCACAGAAGACAAAAGAGTTAAAACTAATCCTAAGAAAACCAAAGAGAAGACAGGAGCAATTAAATATCATTCGATATCAGACTCATCAAACCCTTCAACTTGCAAGTGAATAAGATTAAACAGTTCCAAATGGCACTGTCTCCATCCAGATAAATCATTGTTTATGCTATACTATAACAGAAATAAGTTTCTTTCGGATTACTCTAAAACAAAAAGTGAATTCTTAAACAATATAATTCTATCAGAATACCTTCATTCCTCCATCATTCATTGCTCTCGCAAAGGCTGCATCAATCTTTCTGTAATTTTCATCAGTGCGGGGAGAAATTGGAAAATCGTCCTCATCCCCATCAGCGTCGCCACCTTTGTTTTCCTTCTTGCTCAGCATCTTCAAAGTAGATAAAAAGAAAACTTCGATACATAAACGAAGAAAAAAATATAGTGCAATGTTCCAAGAACTAGATAGACTTTCTGACAATGACATACAAGATTTTTATTTCATCAGGTGAAACAAGTAGCTCAAAGCATTCTTTCACTGTGAAGAATTTAACACAAGTTTTAAAGAAACTATTGAGTCAATACACAATGTCTTGTAAGACCAGTATAAGTTAGTATAACATATTTACAGAGTAAACTGACAGAACTTGAGAAAATACCCAGACCTGCCACTCTATGAAATCTAAAAATCAGGATTTTAGAGTTAAAAAATCAGGATCTGGTGAAAAAAATCGGGATCAACGGCAAATCAGTCATAAGGGGTACTGGGGAAGGGGGGTCCTGGTTCCTTTTCATGAGGAAAGTATGCAAGAGAAAACTTTTGCAGGAATAAGTTCACGTTTGGGCCACTAAATAGAGGGAAACTGAAAGACAGCATTACTCGAGTCGGAGTGGCATAGACTGAGGGAGCGCAGGTTGCAGTAAAGCTGAAACTCTCGTAGTCTTGAAAATAGTTGACACATAACTCTAATCATTCATCGCAAAAAGCCCGCGTTTTCATACAGTAACAACGTTTGACTCACATCGCATTACACACTTAAGGCGCCCCCCCGAAAAAAAGATCGCGCCAAGGTTGTTCATTTATTTCTTTTTTCTTATTCCTTTATCTTCAATCAGTATATTATTCTACATGTATCACGGCACGCACTTTAAGCCCAAGTGTCAAAGCAATACCCCCACCCGCTCCCCCAGGTCGTCTACACTGGTTAAGTCCCGAAAAACACCCCGACCAAGGCGACCGGTGTGAATGAACTTTGCTGACCCCGACAGCCGACGGTCCCCGACACACGCGCTACTCACACGTACGAGGTCATGTCACGTGTTGCGAATGAGCGTTTGAAAGTTCCACTGACAGGTCTTGATGATGGGCCCGACTAACCAGAACTCAAGACGAAGCTTGCTTTTAAACGGCAGAACAATGAATAGATTATTCTTAGGCCCATGACATAATTGTTACAGTAATCAGGACACAGTCGGAGAATTCTGGGTTATAAAATCGAAAGTACATCTTGAGCGTGTCCATGTCGGAATTCAAAATCGATACTATGTCGGTTTTAGTTGAAATAACGTGCGTGAGTCATCTACTAGATTCGTCATCTACTAGATTCGGCATAGATGCTTCAGAAAGTAGCGTTCCAAGTTCCTGCCGATAAAAAAATCTAATTGATGCTTCCAAGCAAAGGAGATTGCACAACTTTATATATTTTTTTCTAAGAATCGGACGCAACTGACGCAAGGACAAAAAATCAGGATACTGGTGATCGAAATCGGGAATATCGGGATTCTTGAGATTTGGCGCAAAAAATCTGGATGAGTGGTAGGTCTGAAATACCCAATTATGAAAATGAAAATTAAAGTTCAAGAACTGCTGAAATCCAGTAAATTCTGTACAATTTTCATCTCTTTCATTTGAGCACACTTTGCTTCTTCAGTTTGGCAACTCTCAGAAGTGTCATGACACAAAACGCTACACATAGAAACATAACATTTAATGAATTTTACTTACATCAACAATATCTTTGTTTGTCTGGCTCACCACAGAGTCATTGTACTCAGTGTACTTAAGAAGCACTTTGTCCATGTCAGAGCTGGCGTACTGGTACAGCTTGTTGTTGCTAGTAAAGATGATGAGGGCTATCTCACAGTCACATAGCACACTCAGCTCATACGCCTTCTTCATCAAGCCGAATTTGCGTTTGGTAAACGTCACCTAAGTTTAAACAACAAAACAAGCATTAATTTAATATAAGAGAATGAGACTAACACATGGTAACATTTTCATGGCTTGTGAATTTGAGAATCAGATTATATCAAATTAAACATGAACACCAATGCTCTCATGTTTAAAGTTATTTTAGATTTTAGAGAAAATACTTCAAAACCTCTGTCATATATTTGACCTAAGGCAGTTGCAAGTACCGTAAAACCTTATTAAAACTAAAAAAGAATTTTATCTCAAAAAGCACAAATTTTGCAATATGAACTTGGTAAAGGCCTTTCATCTAGCACCAATTATTTCTGGAGAACAGTAGAGCTCTGTAAGCGTTTTTTTTTAAATTTCAAAATTTTATGGCACTTGCAACACAAATAGGTTCATAAACTAAGTAGAAAAAAGGAGGAGAGAAAAATATATGATCTAGATGTTTTATAATGATCTAGATGTTTTATAGGACTAAAGCAGCATATTCCTTTACTTTCTCACTCGTAAGACAAGTCACAAGTGTACATGTGTTTTTAAGACTCTCAGGGCAGTTTTCTTCTAACTCAGACTAAGCTCTGTATTAAATCAGAACTGCTTTGCATTTTTTAAAAATCTTCTCCCCTTAAAAATTTTTTAACGTTAAAAAGCAATTTTAAAAAAGAATACCTGTCTGTTCCTCTCGTCATTGATGCGAGCAATCTGAATCTTCTTTCTTCCCATTTTGTCTTGTGTGAATGGTCACTTTCCAAAATAAGCCTGAAACGGACATGCAATAATAAGAATCAAATCTTTTTTATTCTTTTTAAAGCAAATTTAACAAGACTCCCTTAAATGCACAAGCTTCAAACACACTCACTGCCTGACCAGTGACACAGCCTTGAGCATCATCATCCAATATATAAACATATCAAGGATTAATCAATAAATACATTTGATAGTCAATAGGCCTACTTCTAATTTAGAAAAGGCCAGCTCTATTCGGACTCAGGTCCGAAAAAAAAAAAAAGTTTTAAAATTTGTTCGGACTCGGCTTCTAAGTGAGTTATGTGAGTGTAAAGAGGTTAGGCTACATATGTTATAATATGACTGACTTCGGGGGATTTTATGTAAAACCAGAATTAGTACTAGAATTACCTATTACTTAGTACTAGGACTAATTAACTGTGTCAAAATTCAAAAGACTGCACACTCTAATAGCCTGATGGCATTGTCTACATACACGGTAACCGACAACTCGGGGTTTCTCCACCACCACAACAGCATCGTCATTACTTCCCCCACCATTCGTCTTTCCACATTATAATGTTTGATTTAATTTTGTTGTGTGTTTGGTTTTTCTGTAATTATTTTATTTTTTAAAAATCACGTCGCATAAAATCGACAGCTGTGGCGGCCTCTTCCCAACACCCCAGCAAGCCTAGAGTGCGTGATCGCTACATGCAGTCTCATTGGTCGACATTATTATTTTTATTAACTCAACTTGGTTGTTCTTGTCATACTTCTGATGCAGGGAGGGCCAGTTTAGATAGATCCAGTAACTGGATAATTTAAAGCTCATGCTTCGATTGTTATCATTATAATCAAAATATTTTTCATAAAAATATATAAATGCTGGAAATATTTAGGAACAAGGCTCGGAAGTCAGAAGTGACGTCAAGCTGGACTCGATTCAGAGTCGGAATGTAATTTTTTTTAAATTGGACTCGAGTCCGAATAATCACTTCGTTTAGATAAACAATATACACATGTAGAACCCAAAAAAAAATTTTTTTTAAAATTATATTAATAAAAACAACTCTTGCGCAGTAGGCCTACTTAGAAACTGACATCATGACCACTAACACACGAACTATAACTATAATATCTAGTTCAAATTTTACTCCCCTCTTCCATACAATTTAGATTTAGATTTATTACGATGCGGGCTTCTGACCCTGTCTGTCAAGGCCTACCTGGGCTGACAGGCATTAATTCCAGCAGAAAGACCGAAGTACTCGATAAAAATGTTCTCCCCACTCGGAAATCAAACTCGGATCTCCTGCATGCTATCATAATTACAGGTAACAGATCTTCTATACACATCTAGATTCTAGCCAAGATCTTGATCTAGATCTAGTTACTTTCAAGTTATAAAGACACATTAAAGAGTAAATTTTTACTTTCACTCCCGCACACAGATGCACTGTTTCAGGGGTCAAACTGCAGTATTATTTGCTGCAGATTACACATAAAGCCACTAAAACTGTCGCAAATCAATTATTTTAAAGACAATTTCAAATCTAACTGTAAAATATCAAATTATGGGTAAAAACTGGGGGGCATGCCCCCCCTGTAACCCCCCAGATTTTCTTTTACCCCAGAGGGGCAGGCCCCCCTGGAACCCCCCCGATTGGTCCAAAGCATGTCTATCTCGGTTAAAAACAATCAAATATTTCAAAAACTATTAATTTGCGACGGAAATGAAGTTGACACTCGTGTTCAGCGCATCAATATTTAGTAGAAAATAGCTTGGCGCTAGGGGACTGTACGCCCCCATAGTGTTTGGCGCTAGGGGACCGTACGCCCCCATAGTGTTTGGCGCTAGGGGACCGTATGTCCTACCTGCGCTAAGGCGTGGTGTTACGGGACCGTACGCAATATGTGCATGCATCTGGACTTTGCAAAAATACTGGAGGAAAAAGGCCAGTTTAACAAAGCTCCTGACAGGAGTACGATTGTGAGGTATCCAGTGGCTGTGGGTGAACCAGAATTTGAAATTTGCTCATGTCGGCACCCAAGTTGTTGTTATGTGTCAATAAAAGAAATCGAAGAGAGGGAGGGAGAGAAAAAGAGAGAGAGAGAGAGAGAGGGAGAGAGAGAGAGAGAGAGAGAGAGAGAGAGAGAGAGAAGAGAGAGAGAGTGTGTGAGTGTGTGTGAGAGAGAGTGTGTATGTGTGTGTGTGTGTGAGAGAGAGTGTGTATGTGTGTGTGTGTGTGTGTGTGTGTGTGAGTGTGAAAAACAGACAGAAAGGAAGTGAGA